CCTCTTGTCCCATCACTTGTCCCTTGGGAGAAGAGACCGATCCCCCTCTCTGCACCCCCCTTTCAGGGAGCTGTAGGGAGTGATAAGGTCTCCCTGAGCCTCCTCTTCTCCAGGCTGAACCCCCCAGCTCCCTCAGCCACCATGAAGGTGCTGGGAAGAGCCACAGCAGCATTTTCCATGGCTGGAAAAGCCACTTCTCCTTGGAAGAACGGCTCCTCCAGCAGCCAAACCTTTTGTACCTCTTGATTTTCTGCACGCGTAAAAATCCCATGGAGCTGCTCCGTTTCAACATGAACATTTTGAAACTAGGAGAAAATTTGAAATACCTGCAATTGAGTCTTAATGAGTTTTTGTAAAGGTTTTGAAATAAGGACTGGAGACAGCTAATGTGTGACTAATCCATCAGCTTGCGCGGAGACAGGCCTGGAAGGAGACAGAAAATCCTTTATTTGATAGACTCACGCAGCCGCTGAAGCAAAGCCCAGCTCCCCTTGTCCCCAGGGCTGGCGGATGCTGGGCAGCTCCAAACAGCTGCTTGAACCAAACTTCATGTTTTTGGACCAGCAGTTGAAGGTGGCTGGTACCCTGGGAGCAGGCGGGGAGTGAATAGGGGTGATGGGATAGAATCATAGAATGGTTTGGGTTGGAAGGGACCTTAAAGCCCACCCAGTTCCAACCCCCCTGCCATGGGCAGGGACACCTTCCACTAGACCAGGTTGCTCCAAGCCTCATCCAGCCTGGCCTTGGACACTTCCAGGGATGGGGCATCCACAACATCTCTGGGCGACCTGTTCCAGTGCCTCACCACCCTCTCTGGGAAGAATTTCTTCCTGATATCTAATCTAAACCTCCCTGATTTCAATTTGTACCCATTACCCCTTGTCCTATCACTACAGGCTCTTGTAAAAAGTCCTCTCCCAGCACCCTTGTAGCCCCTTCAGGTACTGGAAAGCTGCAATGAGGTCTCCTCGGAGCCTCCTCTTCTCCAGGCTGAACAAGCCCAGTTCTCACAGCCTTTCATCATAGGAGAGGTGCTCCAGCCCTCTGATCATCTCCGTGGCCTCCTCTGGACTCGCTCCAAGTGGTCAATATCCTTCTGATATTGAGGGCTCCACAGCTGGACGCAGCACTCCAGGTGGGGTCTCACCAGAGCAGAGTAGAGGGGTGGATGATGGGTGTGAAGCCCCTTCCCCTCCCACATCCCTGGACCCTGCAGAGCTTCATTCCTGTAACGTGTTTTCATGAGACTCCCAGAAATCAGGAAAAGCGCTTTTTTCCTTTCTTCTTCCTTTTTTTCCATGCCTCTCACAAAGCTTTCTCTCCCTTTGCAGGACCCGACAGTGTTTATGAACAACAACACTCCTCCGGTGAGTGGTGGTGGCCCCGGAGAGACCTGATCGGGATGTATTTGGGGTGGGGGTGTCCTTCTCCTGGGTGGGGTCTGGACATCCTTCTTTGCTTTCGCATGGTGGGTCGATAGATATTTATATATGTGCCCCTGGCACTGGGAGAATTAATCTGCAGACATTAGTCGGGGGGCAATATTGGTGGTCCAGGGCTCCCCACCAGGAGCCCTGGGAGGGGGTGGCGATGCCCCCTCCTCCTTCGTCACCTCCAGCCTGGATTTTGTGCCTCTCATCTTCTGTTTCTTCCCTCCGCAGCTGCTCCCGGAGAAGGAAACGGATTACAGTGAGTGCCCACAGCAGCACAGGGTGTGGGGCTGCCCCGGCCC